CTGCCCCTACTAGGTGCATGGAGCTCTGGACACAATTCTGCAGAGAATTCCTCTTCAGTGGGATCAGCCCCTCTACCCACTACCTTACACTTCCATTCAACAGTGCCCCTCTGCCATAATCCTTACATACACTACGGTTCTATATTAGTTTTTGAGATTATTTGATTAATGCCATCCCCCTGAATATGCCACTCCCAAATATGCCACTTTGACATGGTACTTTGAGCTGAAGGCAAGAGAGCAAAGGGAGATACAGGAAAGACCTTCTAACCTCCCCTTCTGCATAAAAATGGGTCCCTCCCAGGCATAGTGGTGGATATCTGTGCATCAGCTATTTGAGAGGCTGAGACAGAAGTATTGCAAATACAAGGCCAGCCTCAGCAACTTGTCTCAAAAACCCTGTCTCAAAAAATAAAAAGGTGGGGCTGGGGTAGTGGCTTAGTGGTAGAGTGCCTGCCTAGTATGCATGAGACATTAGGTTCAATTCTCAGTACCACATACAAAAAAATAAAATAAAGGTCCATCAAAAACTAAAACAAACAAACAAAAAGGGCTAAGGATGTAGCTCAGTAGTAAAGCACCCCTGGGTTTAACTCCCAGTAGCAAAACAATTAAAAATTAAAAAACAGGTCCTAAAACTTCTCATGATACGTCTTTTTGTCCCTTATTGCCAGTCAGGGAATGGGCGTTGAAATGGATGTGTACAAACAAACCTATCAACATAACTCTCACCTTCCCTTAGTTTTTCCAGTTTCTGTCTCAGTCACTATCCCCCAATTGACTACCTCCAGTCCAAACCCCTTTCTCTTGTCATTACTTCACAAATTTATCACTCCTTTATATAAAAGGTATCTGAGCTGCCTGCTTTGGTTCCCTCTTGACCTCTTTCTTTTCTTGTACGGATTCCCATATACATGTAAAATTTTAATAAAACTTGTGTGCTTTCCCCCTGTTAACCTGCCTTATGTGATTTTCATTCCTATACCCGTTAGAAACTTTAAGAAGGCAGATGAGAAATGTTTCTTCCCCTAGACACCATTCCCAGACCGTGAGCTCCTATCAGAGTCCCTTCTGCCTGTGAGTAGGTCTAAATAAAATCTGTAGAAGCATGAATGGGAGGGAGGTGATGGTCTAGAATTCAGTGGGCAGATGATGCAGGAACTTGAAATCACATCCTGCACGACAGGGCTGAAGCAATGGGCAAAATCAGCCAGAAGGAAGCCTCATGGTGAAACAGAGGTCTCCAAATATCTGAACAAAGAAAGGAGGATGGAAGCTGGGTGCCCTGTGCATGCCTATAGCAACTCAGGCAGCAGGATTCAAAGTTCAAGGCCAGGCTCAAAACTGGAGGTGTGGCTAAGTGGTAGAACACTCCTGGGTTCAATTCCCTAAAAGCGGAGGACAGATTAGCAGTCCATTTAAGGTATGAGGGTTAGAAAGGCAAACACAGATGGGTCAATGTTCCAGGGAGACCCATTCTGCTCAAGGGTGAAAAGAGTTTTCACAGAGCCACAGAAAGTACACTGCTTTGGACAGCAGTGGATCCCTGTCCCTAGGCATGCACAGAGGCACACGGGTCAGAGGCATGCAGTCACTTGGTAATGCCATCATAGCAGACTTGAACCACAGATGCATATTCATAATAATGAGACTTGAAGGTCCCTCCAGCCTCAACTGAACTGTCAGCCGTCACACTCTTGGAGGCACTCGTCCATCTGCACATGAATCCTTCAAACTCTCTCCGGGCATGGCATGCAGCCCCTGTCCTCGGCCTCCCAGACCCATTCTTTCCTTCACAGGCTTCAGCTTCACGAATGTGCCTGACCCCAAGGAAGGCTTCCCCATCTTAACTTTGGTCACTTCTTGACATGTTTGTCTATCACCTACTGCTCTGCCTCCACAGCACTCGTCATAAGTTTAACTACAGTATTCACTGCTCTTTTAGTGAGTACATCATCAAGCCCCAAAGCCAGAGGAGCATGCCCAGGGTATGCACCACACCTGACCCTCAGGTCATAAACAGAGTCCATGAACAGCCATCATGTCTTCCGGCTGCCCTACCCAAACATCTAATGAACTGGCATTTCCCAGAGAATTATTTACATAACCTTTAACACCTTGTTCATACACCCCACCCTGGGCGTATTGGTTTGTCCCCATTTCTCTAAGTAGACCATACATTTGTCTGCAAACATTAGCCATGGCCTGTAATGGATGAGCACAGTCAGGGAGGGCAAGCATCTAGAGACCTCCACACAGCAACGTGCCAGGCATTTATGACTGTTGACACAACTTGGATTTCGTGGCTTTCCCCCCTGTTTTTTCTTATTATATGTTTCAAACCTATCAATCTTTGATATGCTGGGAAAATACCAGGCTGTCACGATAAATGGTTTGGGAAATACTGTGAGGCAACATTACTTTACTAGATGATTAAAAACAGCAAGTCCTCCCATACTAATTAATGGATTAATATTGGCAATAAGACTGTATAGCCCAGATCCTGGCAATGGGGAAATTCACTTAACCCTCTGTTATTAATTAATTCCGTCTTCCTCACATAGTATGGCTCACCTCAAATATCAAGAGAATCTTAAAAAATACATTTGACTGTTTGAGAGACAACAGGAGGCACCGATCCAGAGACCAAAGGTCATTTTGACCAAGACAAGAAACGCACCTTTATATAKGAGTCTCACCACTTTGCCACTGTGTCCCTGTTCATGTCTACAGGCACCCTGTAATCCTCGTTCACACAGCTCTGAGAAAGGTAAGGTGCACACAGCCAAGGACGAACCACTTGGCTCTAATTGGCATATCACTGTCTTTTGCATCAAATCTCCCCTCCCCCACCCCACACCTCTATAAGGAACAGAGTCCAAATTGAGCATACCCTGAATGCCAGCCTWCTAACCAGCACTGAAACTCACAGTTCTGCTTTCCAGCCCCACCTGCCCTCATCACTTTCTTCTTCTTCATTTTTTAAAAAATATTTTTAGTTGTAGATGAACACAATAACTTTATTTTGTTTATTTTTTAATGTGGTGCTGAGAATCGAACCTACTACCTCACATATGCGAGGCAAGCACTCTGCCACTGAGCCACAACCCCAGGCCCCTCATATCACTTTCAAGATAGGGTCTTGGCAGCTGGACAATCCCCCACACTCCCCTAACTCGTGAAGCTGGCTTTCTCTAAGGCTTAGCCAGTGTTGGCCTTTTTTGCCTACTAATCCTCTCCCAAAGACTCGCCAGTTAACATTATCATGGCTTCTTAAGATGGCATTACCAGTCTGCCCTTCATCCACTGACCAATCCATTCGGACACCAACAGCTACAATGTTGTAAATCATAGGGGGAAAGTACTCACAATTGCCCCCAAGGGCCTCCCAGGCGGGAAGCAGTGAGCATTCCCAAGAAAACACACATCATGGCAGTTGACGGGTGTTGTCCCCGAAGAGATGGACCACCTAAGTGAGCATTCAGCAACACTGCCCCTCTCCCACCCACCCTGCCCTGGCGGGACCTCCAGGCCATCTTAAATTCTCAACATCTGTACTAATTCCTAGTGTAGACAAAGCCTTGTTTCCTCATGAATCCAATCTCTGTTAAATTGTCAGAATGACACAGTAAAAGCAGKACAAGGGGAATCTGCTTCCCTAAAAAGCAGGTGAGAGGCCAAGAAATTTTATGTTTCCTCAGGTTGGTGGTTTCTTTGTATCAAGGCTCCAAACAAAATCACATAAGGCTGAATGGACAGTTGAGAATGGTGCTGCTGTGACACGCAAGTGACACAATGAAGAAAGCAGCCACGTTGACACACGGGGGCCGGGGGGTGGGGGCGGTGTGACAAAGACCAACCTGTGGTCTGAGACTCGACCACAGTACCTCTTATATTTGGAAAGACAACATTTCATAAGGTCGTCTGCCATTGCTATCACAAGAAAAGGCAGCATCTTTGCTGAAATTATAGACTGATTTCCCCCTCCATTATTTCAACTCCATTTTGTATAAAACTTGAGAATTTCAGAAATTCTTTCAAATCAGGCCTCGAATACCCCCCTCCCCCACCGTGTCAACGTGGCTGCTTTCTTCATTGTGTCACTTGCATGTCACAGCAGCACCATTCTCAACTGTCCATTCAGCCTTGAGTGATTTTGTTTGGAGACTTGATACAAAGAAACCACCAACCTGAGGAAACATAAAATTTCTTGGCCTCTCACCTGCTTTTCAGGGAAGCAGATTCCCCTTGTCCTGCTTTTACTGTGTCATTCTGACAATTTAACATGGAAAGCAAGTGATTTTTTAAAAAGTGATCCAGAAAGAATAGCCAAGTTTTTCCAAATTCTGAGTGCTTTTGTGCCATGTAACCTCTGTCTTGCTTCCCCATAAAGCCGCTTTGCTTTTTGTAAGTCCAAGTCTGAGAGTAAATCACTCCTCAGAACTGTAACTGGGGGGGAAAACACAAAAAGCAACTGTAACTGGGGTTCCACCTGGGATGTTGGCCTCCCACAGGACCTACCCTTCAAATATCTCAGTTCCAGCAAAACAAGGAAAAGGAGGCACTGAGCTGGGTACAGAGAGAACACACTTCGAATCTCTGAGGTTAAGAGTTCGTAACAACTTACTACCCACACACAGCGCCAGTGAAAATCCAGCAGCCACCTTCCAACCAAGCGGCAAAGCCGAGCAGCTTTCTGAAGACAGGTCAAGCAAGGAGGGCTAACCACCTCCAGCTCTATCCTCCCACCTTGCCCTCGTCTCCAACAGCTTCCCTCCAGAAATAACTAAGTGTATGAGCTCACCCACAGGGAGAAGACAGAGGCATGACACCTACAAGTTGCCTATTTATAGAAAGTGTTAACACTTCTTGGGCAAAGACTCCAGAAGTCTCCTTGGAAACACCCAGGCCTGTACTCCCTTTGGAATCCCAGTCTGCTGACACTGTGGCTGGGGAACCGCCCGTGAAGCAAACCAAAACCGAGGCACAGAGGTACTTACGGTTTTCCCCCAGGGATTCCTGCCAGGTTCGGAGGGATGGTAGGTACTCTCATGTGGGGAGGAGGATCAAAACCAACCTGCAAATAAAAATAAGGCATGGCAGACTCATTTATGCAARGTAGGCACTTTCTCAGCACTGACTTTCCATTAGAAACTAGTGTATCCCCAGAGCAATATAAGTGGGAGCAATACCAGGGCTAGCATTTTTTTTTTTTTTAAGAAAAAGTCTAATGTAATTAAGTAACATAATCACCTCTAGACACCACAAGACACACTTCCTTTTGGAAGGTGGAACAGGGGTGCGATCTACTTGTGCAATGAGAACCAGCTTCGGATGGTAAATCCTTCCCCATAGACTTGATCTTTCCCTAATCAGGTGCAGAGAGAGCAATGCTGATAACCTTCACACTGCTGATGCTTCAGGCCAGATAGTTCTTTTCCTTGTTGAAAGGTATCCTGGCCATTGCAGGGAGGCCTTTATTTTCAAGTGGCAACAGCGTCTCCCCAGTTGTGATCATCAAWATGTCTCCAGGGGGCAAAACTCCTCAGTTGTGCACCACTCATCTAAGTTCATGCATGGATTCCCTATTTCTGTCTACCTTAACGGCAGCATCTAGTCCCTTTGCTGCCCATCTTTGAACTCTTGCCCTCCACTGCACATCCATTTCGATAAGCACAAMAGAAGGAAAAAACAATGACTTTAACATCTCCCCCAATCATAGGGTGTTATGTTATTTTCAAGAGGGGAAAGGAGAGAGAGGTATGTGACGGCGGTATTTTAAAATAGCCACAGAGCTTCTGTTTGATACCTAATATTATACACCCTTTCCTGTTGCAATCAGTGACAACAGTCAATTTCACTCTTCAAATGCAGCTGTTTATCTTCTCAGTCAAAACGGGGCCATTTGCATAGTAGCAGAAGGTAGGGCAAGAAGAAACCGACAGCCCAGCCTCGCAGGTTTACGGTCTGTCTTTCTACTTGTTATACACAAATCACTTGTAAGATATGAGGCACGCTATTGGGTGTAAAGAATATATAGACATGGAAAGAGAATGCTATGACTTCTCAAATGTTTTTTTTTTTTCCCCCTAAGGTTTAAATAGAGAGAGAAAGAGAGAGCCAAGAAAAGAAAAACTTAAGAAAATGAATGAAAAGGCTTCTGTGAGCCACTAGAGTCATTTCATCGCCTTTAAATAAAAAAATCTACTTTGGTGGGAGAAAACCAGATGTCCCCAAGACCACTGAAGGAGCTTCTAAACACTGCCTTTTTTCATGGACAAAAACAGTAAAACAAAAAGCGTTTGGGCCTCACTTAATGAACCAGCATGTTGATGAAGGCTGACAAGAGGAGGGCAAGGGTGCAGTGGGAACACTGGCGTCTTTGTGTTGGAGGTGTGTGGGGCCCGCTGCTCCTGCCCCCATAGCCTGGGGAGGCCTGTGTGCCCCCGGGGCTGACAGCACTCAGTGAAGCATGTGGCTTTTCCCACCCAAGCAAAGCCCACCAGCAGTGGCCTACCATTGGGGAGCGCCCGTAGGCCACCACGGCGGCCGCAGCGGCAGCGCTCATCTGGGGTGACATGCTGTGTAAACTGGCGTAAGCGGCGCTGGGGCTGGTCAGCTCGCCGTTCATGCCGGCGTGGGGGACCATCCCAAAGGGAGCAGGGTACGGGCCAGGCACTGCCAGGGGCGTCCTCAAACCGGCGGCTGAAAGGAAACACAAGCCGCATGTCACTCGACTGCCCACTCCAGTCAAGCCTGACCAGCAATTCCAGAGTCATCTGTTAGTGTCATTTGTCATGGGGAGGGAGGAAAAGAGGCTTCCCGGGCAGCAGGGAGATTACCTCTAATTTATACACTGGATCCAATCCTCCCCAGAGCTAATTTAATCTCCAGGACAGGAAGGACCCCAGAAGCAAAACCCACAGATTTTCTCATTGGTATATGTGGCAGTGCTGGGACACCAGGGGAATTAATCACCATCATCGTACCCAATTCAGAGAGCAAACCAAGGCACAGACACTAAGTGTTTACCTGACTTAATCTCAAAAGAAGATTTTCTTGATAAAATCCAAGATTTCTCCTTCAGTCCGAATTTTCCATTCCCTGGTACCAATTCCAAATGAAAACCAAATCCTAGATTCACGTAAACCAAAGCATGGATTTAGGAGGAATATTCTGGCGCTTACTTTCCGTTGGACTCAGGTTGTTACTTTTTTCCTTGCCCAGAGAGGAGAGTTAGGAGTTTACTCATGGGCTGGAGACTCAGCGGAACCCTCCTGATTTCTACTGATTCTTGGGGGGTGGGCTAACAGAAAACCAGCCAACCACAGTCAGCAAGAAGCTCGCTCSCTTTAGCCTCAAAACTGGACGTTTCGGTCAATATTAGCGAAGTCAGACACACAATGATAGTTTGGTCAGAAGCTTATGTACAGAATAATTATCAGAAACTTGACTGAAGTCCCTAGGATTTGGATTATTTGGAAATAAAAGAAAAGCTGAATGTAAACAGTTGGAGACCAAACAGGGTGCAGCTGCTGAGACCCAAGGACAAACATCTGCTTCTTACCGTGCCTTTTTCAGAGACAGGAAGGAGGGTGGTGGCAAGGGCATTTCATATGCATGGGGAAATCACGTCACTAGATTAACAGACAATTTACTGAGCTGGGAGAGGGAGGAACACAACGCAGCATAATAAGAGGCGATGCTCTACCCGCTTGGTTGACGAGGGGCTCCATGGCTGGAGGCTTGCCCAGGCCTGGACGGAGTCCTGGAGTGGCGCTGGTGCCCGGCGTTGGCATGTCGCTCCGAGGAGTCGGCGTGCTGGATTTCAGAACGGGCGTGCTGGCTTTTTCATGCTGGTATCATTAAACAAATTAAATGAGTATTATTTTTAATCCAAGCCATATTACACAATTTATCACAACAGCAGCTGGGACACTGGGCACCTTCTAGCTACTCCCTCAGCCAATTTTCATAAATCCACACAATGTTGACAGCATTAACTTGTGAGCGAGAAATGTTGACCTTTCCTCTTCCTGCCAGAATWAAAACTCGAGCTAGAGACAGAGAACATGATCACACTTCTTCCTCCGCAGATTTTATTTTGAAAAGAATTTTCCATCGGGCTTGTGGACTCAGGCTCTTTGCCAAGTCAAAATGATGACCACCCAGAGAATAACTCCCAGTCCCTTGGAAACGTGGGCTCCAGCCACAGGCACATCTAAGGGAAGCTCCTTTCTCTAATCCTGCCTTTGGGTAGCCGCAGAATTGAGACTAATGACGAAAGACAGCGAGACCATCAGTTACGTGAGAAGCAAACCARCATTTCAGAGGCAAAAGCCCCAGAACAAGCTTCATCTAAGAAGAATACCTTTGGGGGTAGGTTTTGCCACCCACCTACCTACATAACGCAGGTGGACCCACCAGTCCAGGCACGGGAGACTTAACACCAGCCTGCTCTCAGCACTACCGGAGGCAAAACAACAACAGGGTGGCCGGACAGTGTCTTCTGCCTCTCAACTTTTCAGGACCCCCATGGCAAAGACCATGGGCCAGCAAGGGACCCCAGCACTCTGTCTTGCACCTGGTAGGCTGTGTGGTGCAGCAAATTCATCAGCTTTCCTTCCCGTAGGTGACATGGGGTAACAACTGGGGGACTGGGTAAGGATTAAACAGGGTGGTAAGGGACCCTGATGAATGAAGAGATGACAAGCTTTACAACATTTGTTGAAAGAATACACTACCACACAGATGGGCTTTGATGCACCCCAACAGCACCAGTTTTTTCTAGGCCTCCTTGAGTACATCACTGTTCTAATGAGCTCTCTAATATCGGGCATGCTCCCAGCAAGCCCCAACATGATGGGACAATCTCCCCCAGTAAGTGCACAGCTTAACAAAGTCAAGACTTCCTAAGATCTAAGAGGTCTGAACTATGTGCCAACTGGTGAATTTCACAGATTTGTGTCTCTAACCACGATTCATAAGAGACTACTGCAGAAGAAAAAGTAAACACACTGACTCCGTAAAAACAAGAGAAGGAGTTTCGCTTTTTAATACTTGAAAATATAACGCTCAGCCGGGCTCAGGAGGCTGAGAAAGGAGGATCACAAGTTGGAGGTCAGCCTCAGCAATTTAGCATGACCCTAAGCAAGTGAGTGAGACCCTGTCTCAAAATAAAAAATAAAAAGAGCTGGGGATGTGGCTCAGTGGTTGAGAGCCCCTGGGTTCAATCCCTGGTACCAAAACAACAACAGATATAACCCTCAAAGAGCAAAACCCTGACTTTCAAATTTTTTTTAGTGTCCTCTGGTCCACAAAGAAAAATGCACTGCCAAATAGGCTACCAATTTTCTTTACATACCAAGCTCATTTCTTTGGATTTCAAAGAAGTAGAACTTCCCGAGGAGGCAGTGGAAGCTGGGCTACTAGAAGCATCTTTCTTCAGCAGGCGATTTTTGTCGATTCCATTTTCCCGAGGTGAATGGGCAGGACTTGCTCGTGGAGAAGAAGGGTCCTCAATAAGTAGAAYCAAAAGTTTTCATGTTTTAGCTTACAGCAGACAAACTTTTCCACACTAATTCTCTAATTATAAGAGAATACTGGAAGTCCTTTTGATTGGAGTGGGGAGGGCATGACATGCCTAATGATATTATAATAAATGAATGAGAAGGTGTCTGCTGAACACCCATGAACGTTATCATAAAGAAAATTATCAAATTCCTCCCTGTGACCAAGTACTTTCCCTAGAAGTCACTGGAAAGAGGAGCCAGACACCCAACTTAGAAATCCAAAAGGACCAGGGCAACAAATGGTGCTGGGTATCAAACCCAGGGTCTTGCAAATGCTGGGCCAATGTTGGAGCTATACCCTCAGCCCAGACTTTTTTTTTTTTTTTTTTTAATAAAGAGAATACTAACTTGTGTCAGTTAAGATTATTATTGCTCCATCCACATACAACCATTAGGTTCTTAATGAATACAAATGCAAAAGACACTGTGGTTCTATTTCATACATTTGCTATTGGGTTTTTCTCATAATAGAAATATGCAAGTTATTCTGAAGATACACTTTTTGACAAAAACAATGATTACCTCATTGGACACATCCACAACTAAGTTGTCATCGCTTTTGTCACCATCGCTGTCCTGAAAAAAAGAAATTTTACTGTTTCATGAAGGCTAAGAATGGATGTGAACATAGTTAAATTTCTTTCTATAGTTCTTGGTGGCGCACAAGCTAGAAAACTACATGGAACATGCCTGTGGGCTCACTTCCAGATTGCCAACCCTTCCCATTAATACCACCTTCCCCTTCTCATCTGACCCGAAGCTACACAAAGCTGCTCCCAGGAATTCTGCTGCAGTAGCAAACCAGTTCTTCAATTATAACTTGCTTACAGGAGAAGGCAAGTTGCAAAAATATGGTGCACTATGAAGGCATAATAAATGTTTTCATTAAATACCTAGATCTTTTTTGTGATCTAAAATCTTGCTTATAATCTGATATCAGCATACCCTTACATCGGCACTCTTCTTCCATTTGATTTTCAAATTAAGTACACAATTTCATGTCATTATCTTTATACGTCTCACCTTGAAGGCAGATGGCCAGCCAATCTGGCGCTCATAGACAATTCATATAACAGACACAAATTCACTTAACCCATTTTTCCATGGGGTTTCTAGTTACAGCAGAAAACAAAAAAGATCCAATCTCATGTCAAGAATAAACCTCTTCAGCAATCAGCTTTTTGGAGAGATGGAAGGAATACAGATGGCAGTGTTTGGAGGGCATTGCCATTCTGCAGTAGGATTTTTATTGACTCTTCAATAGAACTGTAAAATTTGCTAATCAGAAGAAATTCTGGGGTTGTACTTAGTTTGGAAGAGATTCAGAAAAGCTGCTCAGTTAACGATGTGATGACTCCTCCATCAAAGTTTGGGGCAGGCTGTAAAACTCTTGTTTTTTATTTTTACTCAAAACCCCTTATATCCTTTAGTGCAGAGAAATACAATAAGCATGTAGAAATTAGGACCTCTTGAGGGGTCCAAATTCTTAAAAAATAAGTAGAACCCAAATTTATGATCTAAACAATTCTTTTTTTTTGATGTCACTGTCATTAGGATTATACAAAGAATATTTGAGGGCTGGGGATGTGGCTCAAGCGGTAGCACGCTCGCCTGGCATGCGTGCGGCCCGGGTTCGATCCTCAGCACCACATACCAACAAAGATGTTGTGTCCGCTGAGAACTAAAAAAATAAATATTAAAAAATTCTCTCTCTCTCCTCTCTCACTCTCTCTTTAAAAAAAAAAACAACAAAAACAAAGAATATTTGAGAAATGTTAATACATACAAGTGCAAACATTACCCACAATGGCCTTCCGTGAACCCACAGTCCAAGCTAGTCTTCGACTCTAAATTCAGATCTCAAATGTTGTTTCCCAACCATACCCAGAGCTGCAYGTGGGAGACCCTATTCACTTTCTTCAATAATGTGTTAGAAGATATACTTTAGTCATTGTTATGAAGGCACCATGCAATTCACCAGTAACAACATAAAATTACAACCAATGAGGAAGCCGGGGTAATACAAAATAACAGTCTATTCAAAAAAAATATTTTCATAAAGAAGAGAGAAACACTAATAATAAAGAAAATTTGTTTTCTCGCAGGAAAGCCCACAGAGAGGCACAAATGTTCTATGGTGTTAAGTGTGTGGCAAAAGAATACAAAATAAAAGGGTTTCCCTTTTAGAAAAAAAAAATTATAAAAATAACTGTGCAGTATATAGGTTAAACTGGTTAAAAAGTAGCAAACAAATTCTTAAAATATTACTCTTTTTAACATTAAAGAAAAAATTTATTTTTCTAATTGACACATAATTATACATGTTTACATGGGGTACATGTGTAGTGATTCAATACATGTATACACTGTGTAATGATCAAATTAGGATATTTTAGGACCTGTTGTCCTACCTCCCTCTATTCCCGAGCCTTCCCACCTGCTCTAATGGAACTCTGAAATTAGTTTTTCAAAGGGAAATGCGCACATGGGACATCAGCACTGGGCAGCAGATAAGGGGAGAAGGTATGTATTAAAAAGCTTGGGCTGGGCCAGGGAGAACCAATGACTCTGGTTCTTATGATATTATTACACCATAGTACAAAAAGGTCCGATTCGAGGAACTGTGGGAAAAATACCAATCCTGTGTGGGACTGGATGTAGGAATTTTGATTAAGAGCACAAATTTTGGTTGAGTCAGACTACCTCTAGGCTCTGCCAATAGCCAGGACCTCTGGCAAACCATTTTGAAGGTCCAGGCCACAGTTTCTTTATGTATGAAATGGGGATGATGGTAGCTAACTCACTGGGTTACAGTAAGAATCCAGTGAAATAACCCATATAAAAACACAGGGCAGCTGGAACGAGTTTGAACTGGTGCTCAAGAAATGTTACCCGTTGCTAGCTATCTATCGGCACGAGCAAGCCTCAGAAGGTCGAGGCCAGTGTTTAAACTTCCAGTCTGCCCCGTAGACACTTCTTCCTCCAGGGATGACAGGAAGTGGCCCAATTCAGGATCCTACTCTCATATTGTTCCTGAGAACTCACTGGTGGAGACACACAGGGCAAGTCCAAGCTAAATCATGGCAGTCATTTTTATGATTCCAGGGCCAGAGCCAGTGGCCACTTGGCCTGACTTGCTCTCCTCTGAATGTGACTTCAATGGATCTATGTTGAATTCTCGTCCRTCAACCGGGTGAGCGATCTCATCTGCAGGGTGTGAACTAGATCCTCTGATATTTCATCTGCTTTTACCATGGACTAAGATCACCCACTGCAGAAGACCATAAACTCTACCTTAAACCTAACATAATCCTAGATATCTTAGCTGAAGAGCATCTTGAAAAAATATTCTGTGCTGCCAATTTTTTTTTTCTTTTTTTTGGTACCAGGGATTGAACTCAGGGGCTAACCACTGAGGTATAACCCCAGTCTTTTTTATTTTTTATTATTTTGAGACAGGTTCTTATTAAATTGCTGAGGCTGGCTTTGAACTTGCAATCCTCCTACCTCAGACTCCTGAGCCCCTGCAGTTACAGGTGTGCACCACTTCGCCTGGCTTCAAATTTTTTACTCTATTTGTGCATAAGTGGCTACCAAATTTGCAAGGTCCAAGACAAAATGGAAATTCAAAGCCCTCATTCAAAAACTGAGATTTCAATGATGGTAAGATGAGACCCTTCTAGAAGCAGGGCCCAGTGCAGCCTTATGGTCCACAAAGCCACACCTAAATTTTCAAAGTCCCTCTTGCAGATCACTTCTTGAACTTCTGGCTAAGATTAAGTGAAGAATAACTAAGACAGTTTAAAATGTAAAATTAAGTCCAAAAGAAGCATAATTTACAGCCCTAAAGGAAAAGAATATTCTACAATATAAGAGTTTACCTCTTTTTAATGTTTTCTTTTATGTGTATACAGGCAACAGAACCCTGGGCCTGGCACACGCAAGGTAAGCCTTAACACCACTGAGCTATATACATTCCCAGCCTTTTTTTCTTTGTCTTTTAATTTGAGACAAGGTTTCATTAAGTTGCCCAGGCTGATCACAAACTTTTGATCCTTTAGTCTCCCAAGAGGCTCAGATATAGGCATGTACTACCATGCCCAGCTCTGAACTTACCCTTACCTTAAGGGATGTGGAATTATAATGGAAATCTTAGATTACACTTAGACATTCACGTAGAAARTAGGCAGTAAGCAAACAAACAGTATTCAAAGTCTTTTATTTACTTACATAGTGGCTAGAATCCTTATCATCCACCTTCCGTTTTTTGATGTCATTGGAAAATTCGGGCCCATTTCTGCGTTTATCTGTACCTCTTAGACTGTCTGGGACCAAAAGGGAATTACTCTACAAGACAAAAAAAAAAAAAAAATGTATATATATATATCTCTCTCTCTCTCTCTCTCAAAGGATTCTTTGCCGGTCTCTTTGTACACATGAAAACCCAACCTGGAAGTGGGAACTGTTTTAGAAAGGTGATACCTATACAACCTTTTATTCCATTTAAGTCAYCTGTCTGAAGACTTTGATGGCAAACATTTAAAGAGCTTTCCCCACTTAAAAGGACCCTGTCTTTGGTATCAAACCTTACAAATCCTGGTGAATCCTTCAGGCTCTGCTCACTCTAAATGTGCTCCTGTTCTATCTGGTGCTGGAGAAATTGGGAGCTTGCTGTTTGTGCGTGGATGTGTGTTTACTCTGTCAAGAATATGAAGGACTGATGAGCAAATCTTGAGATTGCTCCACTAGGCATATTCTATAACTCTTAAGAGTCACTGTGTACCACTCTAAACAGACACAAAAGAAACAGGTGGGATTAACAGCATGGTTTCCTAAAAGGCAAATCACATTTTCCATAGCAACGATAAAGGAACTTTTGAATTCTTTTAATTTATTGTTGAAAATAAGATTTGGTGTTGCTCGCCAGAAGCACTGAAACTTAAGTCCCACAGGGGAAGAAATCTCAGCCTGTGACGCTTCAATAGCAAGACCAGCTCCCACACACAAAGCAGGAACAAGGACTAATCTCTTCCACCAGCCACACAGGATACTTTCATTGGCATATGCTGAGTGCGAACTGTTGACCCAAAGAAAACAGGCATTTGAGATATTTTGGGGTCACATGACATGATCTGACATCCCTTCAATTCCCATCTCCCCTTGGGCTAAGGCATGAGAACATGTTACAATGAGTTCTTTTAAGAGCAGGATTAGCATATGCAAGGAGGCAATTTGTTCAGTGATGTGTTACTGCCCTGAACGACTGTGAATGAGCTGTGTGCAAAAACCTCCCTTCACAAAGCCCAGATAACCCCAATTTCTGAAAGATGTTTGAGAACTAAAAGCAGGTGTCCAGGCCAACAGACAATTATGCTATCTTCCTGTGTCACAATTTAAAATAAAAAAGGGCAGGGGAAATCTTTAGGTTAGACCACATCTGAGGTGACAATATATACCAGGAGCAAAAAATCTTATGGTCCATTTTTTAAGGCCATGAGTTTTTGATCCCCACCAGACAGAGGTATAATCAATCAGCCAGGTGGCTGGCTCTCAAATCTCCCCTGGGAAAAACCTGGACCCCACCATAGGAGTGCTCCCAGCTCAACCTCACACAGGAGGAAATCAAAACGGAGGACCAGAAGGCAACACGAAGCCTCGTGGCCCACTTCAGGGGCTGATTCTAAAGTGAGCTGAGCTCTTTTATTCCTGACTGTTGAAGCTACACAAATGCCAGGAGGCTCAGATAAAAGGAGGTAGAGGGAACTAGGCAATTCAATATGGAGAAGCTCAAAGTAATGGCTTTACCACAGGGGCTGGGGCTGAAAGGTGAGCTGGCTGCATCCCTGAACTAATTACCTTCATAAATGTCTGCTAAAAACTAACCTCTTCAACCCAGTCCCTCCGCCTGACAAAGGATGCGGTAGAATTAACACAACTCCAGGAAGTGCTTAAACACACCTGCCTCTGTTCTAAATCATTTCAGCCCCAAAGTCTCCTCCGGCTCGGCAAATGCAGCAAGGGAAAGGCACATAACTCACTCTACTTCCCAACTGCACAGGTACCCAGCGAAACATGTCAAAGAATCCAGGTCCACTGCAATTTCAAAGTCTCTTTCCACAAGGCTATCTTTACAGCCCTCCYGTGTGATTAGCACCAGGCATCCAAACCACTCACCATTCCAAAATGGTTTCTTAACGTCTTATTTTAAAAATCACGTCCAGTGGAATTGGGAATGTCAAAAGTAAAGTGTACCTCTGTTAGGAGCTACACAGTGTTAGAAACATCTCTATAGCTGGCCCTTTAAGGCTCTCAGGCCTCTGCTTCTACAAGTTAGAAGTCATTACTGTAACTTCCGCACGAGCAGCTTAAATGAAGTCTATAATCTGAATGGGTTTTGAAAAGCTCTGAAGTTCCTCTAAATTTGGACTGGGCTGGTAATTAGCATCCCTGCTTTATCTGAAAATTGGCCCCATTCAACCCGCAGACTTCAACAAGATGTCTCTTCATACCTTTGATGCTGTAAGACCGCCTCAAAACAGGGCAGCAAAGGGGTGGGGGCTGAAAAGGCCTGGGCGTGAGATCCAGGGCATCCCGGGCTCCCACTGMTGTGCAGCACCAGCCCACCAAAAACACACCACGTCCTTGAACCTTTGTTTCCTGCAACCCAGTTCTGTGGGTGACTGGCCGACTTTCCAGTCCCGACACTGCTCTGGTGGTGGTTCTAGATATAAGCAAACAGTTCCAGCCTAATGAGCTGCACTGGCAGCCAACAGCAACCGTCTGGTTTCTTAACTACTGTCTAGGGGATCCTTATCTTTGTGGTTCCCTCGTTTGTTCTCCAGAAACCCAAAGTGACTTYGTGGGTATTGCTACATGTCTCAAGATACCCAAAATATTTTTCCTTCATGCACCATCTGCTACTTCTTCCTTGGCTGAAGGGTGGAACACAGCCATTTTGCCAGTCACGATACACCACTTGTATGAATCTCAAGTATTAAGAGACGATACCTGATATTGACTGAAAATCCTTTAGCTTCTTCAAAATTTAGGATTCTGTGTTGATAGAGTAACTATTGTACATACTGAACAAACATTTCAGAGGAGACCAAATTGCAAAAGAATGAAACTGAGGTTGTTTTGCTTTAAGTAACTTAAAAAGTCACACACATTCCAGACAATTAGACTCAAACCAGGAAAGAGACCAAAACAACCTTCAAGAGATACTTTTCATCCCCCTCATTTTATCTGGAGCACTATGATGTCCAAGCCAGGGTGATTTGCCTAGAGCAGCTCTTCCTACCACCTACAGAGTCCAATTATGTCAAAGTGCCACCCCTCCCAGACTGGAGATTTCTCAGCTCAGATTCTGTACCCAGAACACTTATACCCTAGTAAAAATCACTCAAAACCCACACTGGCTCTTTAAACTGCCGTGCTTAACATTCTGACAATGTCTCACGCCTGCTTCTCTGAYACTCCTCCTAACCAACAGTCAACAATCTGGTTCTATGCCTATCACTTCCAAAATACAAACATGTAACTATAAAAACTGGACATTTTACAGCCTACTTTAAAATGAACTGATCAGCCTGGTCAACACAGTGAGACTCTGCCACCAACTAGCAGTAATAATAATTTTTCAAAATAAAAATAAAATAAAATAAACTGAGAATAGTTCAAAATTCCTCATAAAAATCCTGCTGCTCATAACCTAAGCTATATCCTATCAAGGACCCCAGTAGAACCACAGCAGTCCACCTACACCCAGCACCAGTCCCACAGACTGCCAATCCCCACAGGTAACAGTTTTACAGACCTATTTGCCACTGCAGATGTCTCCTCCCAGAGTCCATTTCTTTTTTTTTTTTTTTTAAAGATTTCAATCTACCAAATAGCATTCATCAAGTGGAATTCATTTTTCAAATATTTATCGGCCAAATAAATATTTAATTATGAATAAGACTTTTTTGATCAACATGAGAACCACTGTTATCACACTGATTGACAGACTCTCGTCCCAGCCAAGAAACTCAGTGTTTTATTTCACCTTGCAGCTGGTGAAATTTACATATCTGCCAGGACTTTCCAAACACTGTAAATACTGGGCAGATTTCTATCACAAATGTCCCAAGCACTGGGATTTCCAGACTGTATATAAGTTTCTCTTTAAGATTTTGTTAAGAAATAAACAAAATCATCTTATTTACCTGTGTTTTTATAGGAACTCAAAATAGGGAGTTATATAGCCTAGGGGAGATATTACAAACCTGAGCAAATCAAGATCCGAAAACACAGTGTTTTCAAAACAAACTTAAATTCTAAAACCATAATGATGTTCTACACCTTATGGTTGCACACGCTTATGGATGTAGAGCCAAGTAAAATGGTACAGGGACAGGCAAATCTGACAAGACTCAAAACGGAAAAGAAAAGATCCTCCCAGAATGCTCAATGCTAGCCAAAGAAAGAAGCCTGGCTGCATTTACACATAGAAACTACAACTGAGATGATCAGGTGCAGGTTAAGGGACAGGAAAGGCATGCTCCACAGCAAGAAAGGACCTCTCTCCCTCTTAAGAAAACCTAGAATTCTTTGGAGAACATCAAATCTTAGAGAACACCTTCAGGGGCAAGTGGTAAATTGTTTGGTATTATAATTAGATGCTTCTTAAGGGTCCACATCCACCCAACAGAGCAGAATGGCTATGTGAGGCAGAGAGCTTGTCAGAAGAAAAAGATTTTCCCTTAAMAGGACCTGCATCCTCTCTCTCGAGACAAACCGGAGTACAATTTCCTAACTGTGGGAACCCAACCTCCCCCTGCAGTGGTGGAATAGGTGCAAGTTAACTAGACAGTTGGCTCAGTGTTAGAACCCAGTGGGCAGAAGAGGCCAATACAGCCTATCAGATAAAACAAAAACCAAAGATCCCAATACAATTATAAAATCATACCTCCATTTAAGAACTTAGAATGCAAGGAGAAGAGTCTACTGAACTTCAGAGAGTAACCAGCAGAATAAAAAGAAAACATCAAGATTTGGACTTTGTATTACCCTCATGTTGACCATTTTAGAAATGGATGTTCACATTTTATGCTCTGAACACTCAAGATAAATATAGCAAAACCCTCGGTGCTTTAATAAGGATAAAGCCCAGTCTTTTATGGTCTTGTTCCAGGAATTTTGCTTTCTTTAGCAATCTAACAGTAATAGCTGTTCTCGACTACTGAAACAAATCTGGAAAATAACTCCAGAAACTATGAAAGAAAGGCTTAATGAAATGTTACACTGTCAATGCTGTAATGCTACCAAACACTAGTGACAGCAGCCTTCATGTATCTCGAGGACTC